GGGGGAGGGGAGGCCATCGCCCCCGTTGTAGAGTTGTGATAAAATCATCTGAAACTTGAAGATCTTAATATAAAAAAAAAGTCACCCTTTAAACCAACTGGAAACGTGTTGCTAGTACGTGTATAACTGTTGTTTCGAGAAGTTTAGTGATACATATTTCTAGCTACGCCGCTGAAGCTAAGATATCCAATGTTGAGTAATTTAATACAGTTAAAACTAAACTTTTCAACGAGGCTGATTACAAAGCTAAAAGTTCTCATGACTCTATAAACCATGTTTCAAAGCGGAAAGATTAGTTAAAGAATAGCGTTGCCCAGGAAATTGTGAATGAATGTTTAGGCTTACCGTTGTGCAAGAATTTAGTGATTTTAGCAGAAATATAAATTATTTCTCTCATATCTTCGAGAGACACATGCATAGGAATGTTCTTTTTTTCTTCTGAGAGACACATGTATAGGAATATTCAATTGTTTTTCTTCTGAGAGACACATGTATAAGAATGTTCAATTTTTTTCTTCTGAGAGACACATGTATAAGAATGTTCAATTTTTTTCTTCTGAGAGACACATGTATAGGAATGCTCAATTGTTTTTCTTCTGAGAGACACATGTATAAGAATGTTAAATTTTTTCTTCTGAGAGACACATGTATAGGAATGCTCAATTGTTTTTCTTCTGAGAGACACATGTATAAGAATGTTAAATTTTTTTCTTCTGAGAGACACATGTATAAGAATGTTCAATTTTTTCTTCTGAGAGACACATGTATAGGAATATTCAATTGTTTTCTTCTGAGAGACACATGTATAAGAATGTTCAATTGTTTTTCTGAAAGACACATGTATAGGAATGTTTAATTTTTTGTGTGTCGATATTTAACTTTTATCTTGAAAAAATTACCGTTTCTTTCACAAATCTAATAGTCGTGTTCCTTTAATTTTTTATTCTTTTACCGATCTGTATTTTCAAGGTATTTCCATCATATAATTCCAGAAATTTAGGTTTACTGGTAAAATAGCTAGAAGTAATATTGCCTGTGAAGAAGTATAGCTTATATATCTTTAACTAATAACTTAATAATTAAAACTAAATATTTTCCCGTCACATAACTATTCTAAAGTCTTCTAATGAAAATATTGCGCAAATCATCACGATATATCTGGTATATTTTTCATTTTTCAACTGAACAGCACCTCACGCGACACCTAGGTCAAAGACCCAAAGATTCACGCACAGATATTCCTCATCTAGAACTGCTGACCAAAATGAGGGCAACTAGTGGGTTCTGCTGACTAGTTGCCCTCATTTTGGTTATTCTTAATTGAATAGTGTGACTGACTGTCACGTTATATAACATCTCCAAAACTTAAAGTTAGGAACTGTTCAGTGATATATTGCGACTCGAAATCATCTCCAGAAAGTTAACCACTAGGACACGCCCGGCCTCAATTCTCTTTTTAACGATTAACAAGTTCAATTTGTGTGTGTGTGTGTGTTCATATTCTAAAAGTGTTTACGGCGACCGAGAAATAAGTAAGAAAATTTGACCTTTCACCTTAATCTAGTTTCAATGGTGGCTACATGGACATAAGTTAAAACGTTATGTACATACTGCCAGGACTTTTGAAAAACAGGTACATTTATCTCATAGATCGACTTACCATGAGTTAATGTGCAAAATAAACATGATTATCTCATGGGTATGGGTAACATGACAACATTTACAAAGTAGGACTACCTAGTAAGTAGGCTTAATCGGTGATGAACATTTCCTTTGAAAAGTACAGGTAATTACCTCTGTCAGGACTTGACCTCATAATGTGTGGAGTATCATGTTTTCTGTAAATTCATACACTGTTCGAATTGAACTGTCAAGATATATATATAAAATTACGGAACTCGATGATGACCCCCAAGAAAGAAGTGGTATTCCATTGGGAACTCCACAAAGAATCCATACTGTGTTTCGGTCATTACCCGCAGAATTTCAACTCTGGATTAATTAACACAAATCTAAAAAGTAAAAGATAAATATAAAATTATAAATATCACTTGGAAACTGACAGAAAGCTCAATGTGTGTTTAGTATTGGACATCCTTCAAATAAAAGCTGATCGAGAGGTACAAATGGCTTGAAATACTATTGTGTAAGTTGTAAGTTCTCCGATACTGTGTATGCAAGGGGAAATGATGTAAGATTTTTTCAAAAGCTTCATTTTTGGAAAAGAATGGCTGAGTCATAAAATATAAGGAAGTACCAACAAATAAAATACCAAATAAAAATAATAATATATAAAATGGAAACCGGCCTTCTTCATGTTCGTGATGGCCCAGAAACCGACAATTAATAAAACTAGTTCACGTTTCGTTTTTACCCCACCTAATGGTGGAGGTTCAGTTATCTCCTGATCGGTTCGTAACCATATAACAGTTTTTAGTCTGACAGATTAGGAACAGTTCAATGAAGCAGAGAACTTTATGTGGCTCACCTTGCATTACCGTCCTATAAGTTATTAAGGTTGGGTTTTAATTGTGCGAAAACATGACCAAATAACGCTGTATAAAGTATCTCTTTTATGGCCACGTTCTGATTGAATAAATCTTTCAACACGTGTGATATCAGGATCATAGAATGATTGAAATGCCTTTCTTTGAAAGCTAGCTCGTAATTATTTCGTCCTTGGTATTTTTTCTGTACATAAGGAACAATCTAAGAAATTATGTCAGTGTGCCTTTTGTATAAAGATTAAGCAAGAGCTTGTACGCACATTCCATGAATAATATCATCGTTTTCCTAATTTTACGTCACGTTTTACCCTACAGGTTTCGCGTGGGTTAATTATATTATAGCTTACAACGTGAACTTCTCCTAGCAGAGATTACTTAGATGAATAAAAATTATGACCAATAAAGAAGGCGGAAGCGTTTGGTCGTGATCATTTTCTCTTATCTCTGTATAAAGCTGTATGTCACGTGCTCTATGTTAATTGTGAACGTGGCGTCAGGTTTATTAACAGTATATACAACTACTCAACATTTTTTACCTCAAGGAATTATGACTGTTTCTCCATCCTGGTCCGGCATGGCCAGGTGGTTAGAGCGCTTGACTCGGAATCTGAGGGTCGCGGGTTCGAATCCCCGTCACACCAAACATGCTCTTCATTTCAGCCGTGGGGGCATTATAATGTGACGGTCAATCCCACTATTCGTTGGTAAAAGATTAGCCCAAGAATTGGCGGTGGGTGGTGATGACTAGCT